ATATATATATTAACAGTCACTGTGACAGTCACTATATATATATTAACAGTCACTGTGCACAGTGAGCAATGGCGGCGTTAGTGTGTGTGCATAGAGGATTTACACGGAATTGACAGGAAACTGTCGGTGAAAGAGAGTATAGAAACATTAAGAATTTTGTAGTACTACTACTAGTATTAGATTTCGTATTTATTTAGCATTATATTTTATTGAAATGTTTCAAGTGCCTGTGATCAATAGCGTATAAAGAAGTCCTATAAAGAGCGTATAAAAAGAGCCTTCTTAATACGCTCTTGATGTCATGCATCTGTCGCACTGTCCGCGCTGTCATGTCACGCGCCGATAGCATCAGCCGCACAGGCACTTGGAGCGTCTTAATAAAGAAAACTATATATAATAAATATATAGTTAACGCGGCGTGCGTGCCGTGTACACGTGTCTGTGTTGCAAAGGAACATTTGAACGGCGTTTACAGGAAATTATCAGCAATAATAAGCGAAAGAGAGTAGAGAAACATTAAGACTTTGGTAGTAAATACATTTCGTGTTTATTTAGGATTAATTTTCTTTATTGAGACGTTCCAAGTGCCTGTGATCAGCACTGTCTGCGCTGCATGTGTGCTCGTCGCCGTCGCACTAAGTTTGCTCAGGGCTGAATCTGTGTGTGAACAGCGTGTGCTTCCGCGCGTCCGCGCTGTCTCCATTTGATGTCTTTGATGCGCGCGTTCGTCCGCGGTGGCGTTACTTATTCATCGTAATTATAGTTCGTCGCATATACACTGCTGCTGCTGCTGTTGCTGCTGCTGCACACAGCAGTGGTTGAGGTGGTTGTGGTGGTGCTACTGCTGTGTTGCTGCTGCGGCGGCGGCTCCTGCTGCTGTTGCAATGGGCGCAAATGCGATGGGGACACGGGTGACGTGACACAATATCAAATGCCCCCCCAGGTTTTTGAACATGTGCTTTTGCATAATTATGAGCCCCTTCTATAATATTAATATTTTGTGCTTGTTACCACTAAATGAAAAAATTTGAAAGTAGGCCTATAAAAAACGACTACCGATTGATAGCCTAAACCGAATACAAAAACCGCAACCGCTGCGGCATATACTGCTGCTAGGTAAGGGATATTGAAAGGATTTGCTATAGTCTCTAGTTCAGAATCTTGTCACTCCATATCCGGCTTGTCCACTCCATATGTCAGGCTAGTACGCGCGCGTTCGCTAGCTCTCCAGTAGCTATGAATATATGTGGCAGATATGTACATTCGTATATATATTATATATATACATATCGTATATATTAGGCCTACGTAGGTACTGCACGCCTGAAACGGTGGGCGCGCATGCGCACTATCTCCCGAAAAGATTATAATATTTTCCAAAAATTATGAATTTAAAATGAAGGGTCATCTGAGCACATAATAGATTGGTATGACAAAATTCCATCCCTAGACCTCAATTCACAAATAGGAAGCAGACCTTGCATGTATAAGGTCACTGTCTCCGCTGCATATACAAGTCAGTATAACCTGAATAGGTTAATGTTTTAGCGCATGCGCAATATCTCACCAAACGAGTTATATTTTGTGATTAAAATGCATTTAGTATGGTCAGGGCGTATCTCGGCAGAGGTTTCAGTAATAAATTATTACCAGTAGACCTGTGGTTATAGGAGAGCGTCCTAGCCTGTAGGGTGCAAAACTCCTACTTCATCCCCGCCCGCCCTTTCCCTTGTCTCTCTTGTCGCATGATCAGCCTCCTCCTTCTTCCAACGCACCTCAGCTATCTTCCCTGTCGCCTTCTTTCAGTCTCCCACCTCTCCCCCCTCAGCAAGCTATATTTACGTACTTTTCCTTTGGCCGTACTACACGTCTGAAACGGTGTCCGCGCATGCGCAATATCTCCCGAGAAGAAGAATATTTTGCAATAATTATGAATTTAAAATGAAGAGGAATTATCCTAGCATAGATTTATATAATAAAATTTCATCAGTGGACCTCACTTCAGAAATAGGAAGCAGACCTTGCATGTAAGGTCCCCGCTAGACATACTATTAAGGACATAACCTGGCTACGTTACTGTTTTAGGGCATGTGCAATATCTCATCAGAGGAGTTTTATTTCGTGATGAAAATGCAATTAATATGGTCAGGGGATATCTCAACGTAGGTTTCTGTAATAAATTCCTATCAGTAGACCTGAGTTTATAGTTAGGAGAGCGCCCTAGCCTGTAGGGCGCAAAACTCCTACTTTATCCCCACCCGCCCTTCCCTTTGTCTTCATTGTCGCACGCTCAGCCTCCTTCTCTTTCCACCGCTCCTCGACTGTCTTCCCTGCTACCTTCCCTCAGTTTCCCACCCCTCTCTCCCTCAGCAAGCTATATTTACATACGTTTCCTTTGGCCGTACTGCAGGTCTGAAACGGTGTTCGCGCATGGGCAATATCTCCCGAAAAGAAGAATATTTTGCAATCATGATGAATTTAACATGAAAAGGGGGTATCCTAGCATAGATTTATATATGATAATATCAAAAGCGTATTAAAAAGGCCTTAGGCTGCCTATACCATTACCTACATAACTTGGCTACGTTACTGTTTTAGCGCATGCGCAATATCTCACCAGAGGAGTTTTATTTCGTGATGAAAACGCATTTAATATGGTCAGGGGATATTTCAACGTAGGTTTCTGCAATAAATTCTTATCAGTATGCCTGAGTTTATAGTTAGGAGAGCGCCCTAGCCTGTAGGGTTCAAACTCCTACTTTATCCCCGCAGGCCCTTCCCTTGTCTCCATTGTCGCACGCTCAGCCTCCTTCTCCTTCCACCGCCCCTCGACTGTCTTCCCTGCCACCTTCCCTTAGTTTCCCACCCCTCGCTCCCTCGGCAAGCTATATTTACGTACGTTTCATTTGGCCGTACTGCACGTCTGAAACGGTGCTCGCGCATGCGCAATATCTCCCGAGAAGAAGAATATTTTGCAATCATTAAAGCCTCGTCTACACGACGAACCTTAACTCGAGTTAAGCTAACTCGAGTTAAGCGTTAACTCGAGTTAGCGATTATGTAGCGTCTAAAAGACAACACCCGATAGCGATTATTACCGATTTATTATGCATGCGTGCGTGCGTGTGTATGTAAACGTGCGTGCGTGTGTGCGTGTGTGCGTGCGTGTGCACGTATACGTGCGTGCGTACGTGTGTACGTACACGTGCGTTCGTACGTGCGTGGGTGCGTGCGTACACGTGCGTGCATGCGTGAGTGCGTACATGTGCGTGCATGTGCACGTACACGTGCGTGCATGAGTGTGTGCGTGCGTGCATGAGTGTGTGCGTGCGTGCATGAGTGTGTGCGTGCGTGCATGAGTGTGTGCGTGCGTGCATGAGTGTGTGCGTGCGTGCATG